GTCGCGAAAAATTAAGGTGGGGTCCTGAAAAGATTTTCTGAATTAATTACATTTTTGCCTTAGGTGTTACAAAGGAGTGAGGTTAGTGTATTTAAAATGGATGAATGTAGCATAAAAAATATTGTTTCTATGCCCATGTTTTGTTGACCTGATACAAATGTTTATCATCCAAAAATAACTGGGGGCTCAGGTCTCTGCTACTGTTATTTTGTGGGTCAAAAGCTGAAAGGTTTGGGAACCACTGCACTTTGGTTCCCAAAGTTGGGCTTGGGACCCAATTATGGGTCATAAAGTACATTGGATATTCTCCAGAAATCAATTTAAAGGGTAATAAAATAATTGCTGATGTAATATTTTCCCTATAATTATTACAAAAACACAAAATAAGTATAAATAAGTATTTATATTTGTGTATAAGCTGTTTAGATTGTCAAAAAGCCTGTGTTTTTAGGGTTATTAACAAAGTTTGTGTACTCAGTAATATTTGGGGTCACAAGATTTTGCCATGGAGATCTTGTAGGTCAGAAGATAAAAAGTTTGGGAACCACTGATCTAAATGACCTTCCAGAGAGTTGTAGGAGTCATGGGTAACTCTGTAAACTGCCACTAATACAGCAGGCCAGTTCTGCTCAAATGTTATTCATACATGTGTGAAGGATATCAGCTGTGAAGCTTTGAAAACTATTTCTGCACTCTGGTCACCTCAAGAGGTCTAGGATGAGGGGAAAATTGCACAGACACTTCAGTTCTTCCGACCTGCTTCAGAAAATCGTGCAAACATGAACACACAGAGAGGGCTCTATCTGAGAGCTCACATCTGCAGGATTCCCTGTGTTTATCTTTTGCTCAGTAATGAGTACGTTGCTTTGATGCATGAGATTTGTATATGTGTGTGGAGATGGGGCTGGAAAAGGAGCGGAGACAGACATGAAGGGCCATGTTGTACTCATAAGTGGAGTAATCATAGAGATGAATGAAAGAGCTGGCTGATTTCTGATGCTGCCAGGTTGATCAACTCATAAAACAAAATAAAAATGATGAAACAGCCCAGGTTAAGCATAGCTGCTTCTGCTGCACTAGTAATGTGTCTTTACGTCAGATGATTTTTTTTTGTACTRTTTGCAGAACTACAAAATAAACTGTAATATAGACATAATTCTTTTCGACAGACAATTATTAAAAACAGACCTATTAGCCACTGTATAAAATATAAAAATATACACTGCTGGCCAATTATTATTCCATCAATTGATTGTTTCTTCCCTGATGGCACGGCCATTTTCCAAGATGACAATGCCAGAGATCATGAGGCTTTTATTGTGAAAGAGTGGTTCAGGGAGCATGAGACATCATTTTCACACATGGATTGGCTCCACAGAGTCCATTGAGAATCTTTGGGATGTGATGGAGAAGGTCAAACTCTACCATCATCAATGAAAGATGTTGGTGAAAAATTAATGCAACACTGGATGGAAATAAATCTTGTGACATTGCAGGAGCTAATTCAAACAATGCCACAGTGTATGTGTGTCGTAATCAAAGCTAAAGATGAAATATTACTTTTTTATGACAACTTTTTTTTGTCCAGACAGTGTATTTGAACTATATAAAATAGTTTGAAGCTGAAAACTTTAATGGCAACTCATACAAATGTGCATCCATCCATTATATTTACTTGCTTTCCCTTTCCAGGTTCCATGAGTAAGGGGTCTCTGCAGTAGGTTTTGTCCTGTGGGCGGAGACGACCCTACTCATGATTGGCAGAGGTTTTCATGTGGGCGGAGATGGCCCAAGAGACGTGATTGGTTGGATTGACGTGGGGTTTGAGGAGGCTGGAGGCAGCTGGGAGTAGCTTGATMGAGTCAGGCAGGAAGTAACATGTTTTTTAAGATTAATTTTGTCATAACTTGAGAAAGGAAAGTACTAGCTGCATGAAATTTGAACGTTGTACATGTGAAAGGATGTGTAACAATATGGCTTAGTTAAAACATCCCTAACCAGCCTGTAAAAAGATCGCTATAAATCAATATTTTTTACAGGCTGGTTAGGGGTGTTTTAACTAAGCCATATTGTTACACATCCTTTCAACGTTGAAATTTTGTGCAGCTAGCACTTCCCTTTTTCAAGTTATGACTAAAATTAATCTTAAAAAAATACATGTAACTTCCTGCCCTACTCGACCAAGCCTCCCGCCCACATCAAGATCTCCACCAATGATGATATCCACCCACAGGACAACACGTTCTGCAGAGACCTCTACTTGGGTTCCAAGGGTCCGGCAGTCACTGTGCAATASGAGAATTACACTCTTGACTGTAGGAGTTCAGTTTTTCTGGTCTGTCTTCATTCCAACCCTCACCTGTGGTCATGAGGCGTGAATCATGACCGAAAGAACGAGATCCTGGATACAAGCGGCCGAAATGAGCTTCCTTCGTAGGGTGGACAGGCTCAGCCTTAGAAACAGGGGAGATCCGTCATCCGGAGGGGAGCACAGAATAGAGCCACTGCTCCTCCAAATCGGAAGGAGCCAGTTGAGGTGGTTCAGGCATCTGATTAGGATGCCTCCTGGATGCCTGCCTTGTTCTAAATATTAGAGGTGGTAAGCCACATTGTAGCCGCAGGTTCCCTAGGGTACACTGACAGAAGTGAGGATGCTATGCACCGGCGACACAGGACCTTCTGACCACCACCAGCAGGCACAGCAGAATGGTTGTCTTTCCCAAGGACGCAACGACTGAGATTTGAACGAACTGAGCGGGGTTTCGAACCTTCAACCCACCAGTTACAGGATGACTCACCAAACTGCTCTGCCACAGCTGAACAAATGAAATCGGTAAACTTTCCTTTAAGATCATAGATGATGTTTTTCRTATCTTTAAGCTGTATTTCTGCTTTTTTGAGCTTAGTGAATTTGTTCGATTTCAGTGGCATTTCCATTGCAACCTTAGCATTTGTACTGAAAGACATACGAGCTCTGCTACTTCACGCATGCACAGTTTWAACTACAAAATAGTCTATTACGAAGTCTGTCGATGCTTCACACACGTAGTAGCACAGACATTATTCAGTTGAGTAAACAGCAACAAACAAAGGTGTCAATCAAAAGTGTAGAATTTTAATTGTAGCAAATGTAGCATGGTATGTTGTTTTTGAGAAAGAGTTGTTTCAACAGCCTGAAAAAGCAATAAAAGAAACATTAGCTCAACCTAGACAAAACTTGKGGYGGCTGTGGCTGAGTGGTTCGGGGAGTTGCTCCTCTAATGAGAGAGTTTGAGGTTTGATGTATCTAGATTAGCTTTGTAGAGTCTTACTAGAGTGCTGTGTGAATGGGTAAATGAGGGCACAGATTGTAGCGTAAAGTGTTTTGTGCAGCACCAAAGCACCAATAGGGGAACTTATTTCCTGATTAGTGCTTTAGGGCTTTTGCTAATTTTAAAATTTATTAATGGATTAGCACTTGCTAAAYTTATAGGTTAAATTTAGAAGCACTAACTGAGGTCTATAAATGTTATTGATCAATCAAAAAGAAAAAAATTGTATAGGTCTTCTGGACGGGTTCTTCTCTAATGAAACGTTTCGTCTCTTCTCCAAGAGACTTCTTCAGTCTGAAAGCGGTCACTCTTTCAGAGATGAGGATGTTCTCATTCTTGATAGAGAGGAACGTTGGTTTGAGAGAGGAGTAAAAGAAGCCATTTTTGTGAAGAAAGACCGTCCATCATTAAACAGAGGTGGAGGCCTCTGTTTTCAGTTGTCCCCCTCCTACAGCGCTGCTATTGCCAGTATCACTCCACCCCTGTTAACAATAAGTGTTAATTAGGTGTCAACGATAGCCATGTGATGTGAGTATCAGTCACATGGAGGCAGGGCTTAAAATCCTGAATTTTGCCTGAAACTCTCAGACTGAAGAAGTCTCTTGGAGGAGAGACGAAACGTTTCATTAGAGAAGAACCCGTCCAGAAGACCTAYACAATTTTTTTCTTTTTGATTTTTTACCTGGATTACTGAGATRCATCAGGACTTATTGATCAATGTTAATGTTAACAACTGAGGGCGAAAGCTGTCACATATTTTGTTCATATGTGTCACTTATCCACCAGGTGACAATATATTGACAATATATGAACCCAAATACAGCTGTGGAATGTCAATGATAAGAATTAAGAGAACAACATGGCAATATGTGACTCATGCTGTCTGTTGAAGAATGTTATTGGTTTGACTGGTTTGTTTTAGTGCTTTAAAATTAGGGGACCTAAATATTTGAGTTGTTGTGTTAGTGCTAGTGGAACTAATTTATAGATTAGTGCTGCCCACCACTGGTTTTGAGTATCCTGGTTGGATAGAAAGGTGCTATAGACATACAGTATAGTCCATTTATGAAAACCTTCTGCCCTTTTTCATCACACTCTGGGCTCCATGACTGATGTCCCAGAAGATAAAGTAAAAACTACTGATAAATATTTGACAGAGAATCACTTCAAAAAATTAACAGACTATCCCTTCAATGCAAACAKCAAAGCTGCAATAAGTTTAAGAAAAAGAAGAAAACACAAAAGTCATTCAGTTTTACTAAAAACACTTCTAATGTTCATATATTGCCTCAGAGGGGAAACAAACAACTGCAGTAAAAAAAAAAAGCTATTAAATTTTCAACCAACAGGTCATGACAGAAATCACTTTCACAGATTGGTGCAGATGTTATGTCGTTGTTCTGTGACTATAAAAACCAGTACCCACAAATGCTRAAAAAGTTTAATCCATTCAAAAGAGACGTGCTTCAAATACATTTACTGTATGTGAATTTAAACTATATTTCATGTAAATTCTCTTGTGAATATTGCTAATAACTAAAGTTTTTGACTTGTCATTTCTAAAACCAAACTGTCACTTTGAAGTCTCCATTGTGTTGTGCTTTTATGCAACAATACTGGAGGGTTGGTTCATCTCAAAACCATGATTGTGATGTTAACTGCTCGACGAAAAGAACATGACACCCAGGGTGACACAGGGATTACTCCTTCTATATTTAGGCTTTATGTACATGAATATTGGCAGAACATCTCTGTACATGTGACAGGCACACACATACACACACACTCACAGCGATACAGTGATAATAATCTCCAGCACAGAATACATTTACAAAATGGGCTCTAGAGCAAACACTGGCTGACATATAGAGGGGAATGTCTGAACCATACTTTCTTCATAAAACTGGATATTTTTTTTACTTTTTTAATTTTTTTTTGCAACAGTTATTATTTTCATCAACATAATCAGACAATCAAAAATATAAACACAAAGTAAAAAATAATTTAAGTTCCTCCCTAAAACATGTCATGAATATGCAGCAAGAGATCTATACAAAGCAGACTGGATCTCCCCCAGTTGATCCGTAACTGAAGGATGTGAMGGAAATGACAGACAAAAGCAAACATCATGCAGCAACAAAGAAACCTACATGAGAAAATGTGAAGTTCTTTGAAGTTCTGCCTCCTGAGTGGCAACATGATGGCAAGACACCAAGCCTGGTAACAAAGCAGCTTCTGGGCCACTCGAGACGTGCCACGGTGAAATGTAAACATAAATATACAGGTTGATATCTCTCTCTACAAACAATTCAGTCCCTGTTCATCAGCTGYATGAACAGTCAGTCTGTGTACACTTCTTAGTAGAATATCACTTAAGTGTTAAATAAACTTATTTAATATATATATATATTTATATAATAGATTTATTCTTTGCAGAGTCATTTAGCAGTATTTCCTTGTTTTCACCAGTTTACTCTGGTATTTCACCGAGTGGCCACTGTGTGCCACCACATAAACGTCCAGCAGGTAGGTCTTGCCCGGTTCCAGACCTGTGATGGTCTCGGTGGTCACAGCTTTCTGCAGGTTTGGACTGTGGAAGTACTTGCACAGGACCTTTTCCGACTTCCTGCGGGTCTCCGGCCCGGCACACTGATTTTGTTCTCTGCGTCGCTGCTCTTCACCGTAACTCTCAGCGACCTCCTTACGGTAAATGCAGTACTTGTTGCGGTCCTGCGTGCCCAGCCAGGCCACGGTGGCAGTGGAGCAGGTGCGCAGCTTGTCGAAGGCCTTGATGCGAGTGTCCTCCGGGAGAGACGGGAAGGGCTGTTTGCTGCTGGGACGTGTGGTGGCGAGCACCTTCAGGGTGGAGGCGCCTTTCCGGCTTCCCCGTAAGCGGATCTGGTACTTGGCTTTGGGCTTACCCCGCAGCTGGAACTGCCGCACGCCTTCCACGTTCTGGGAGAGCAGCAGCTTGCCCTCTCGCCTCACCTGCACCTGCACTGCGTTCAGACACGAGTGAACAAAGAGCGTGACCCTCTGGTGGGAAGACACGGGAGCAAAGCGCAGAAACTTGGTGCCCTTTCTCTTGATGAAAATGTCTGACACCTTGCCGTCTTTCAGCTCATGCGTTTTCTGACGGGCTTCCTCTTTGGTGCGGGCGAAGGTTCCTACGTACGCCGTGCTGGTGTTGGTAGCAGAATTCACAGCGAACACATCAAAGTAGTACTGTGTGTCCGGTTTAAGGTCTGACACAGTGAAAATGTTTTTGTTTCCAATGCATATCTTCTGAATGTCAGACACTTTGGGTTTGGCTGGGTACGCCCGTGAGATCTTGTTACTTGTAAGGCCTCTGTCCTTGCCAAAACCATTGTCAGAGGGAACAAAGCCAAAGTGCACAAAGTCAAATGGGCTGAAGTCTCTGCCAGGCTTTGGAGCCAACATAAAGGCATCATCGGTGCTGATTTTAGCTTCAGCGGCACACATGCTTTTAAAGTTATGCTCCTTGTTGATCACCACGCAGTACTGAACAGGCTGACCCATCAGAAAGCCCGTTGGTGTTGGTTTCCAGGCCAGCGTGACGGTGGTGCGGCCCAGTGCGGTCACATCCACGCGAGGGTCGTAGGGCAGCTCTGGGTAGGGCTGGTCTGACTCTGGAGTTGTGGTGGTGTACACCTTGAAGTTGCTGTCTTTCTCAGTGGACAGCAGCTCCAGCTGGTAGAGACCAGAGGGCGTGCTGGTTGCCACGTAGGACTCCACATCATTCCCCTTGTAGGTGAAGAGCTCTGTGCCCTCGTCTACAGTCACCTGCTGTTTCTGCTGGTCCAGAGGCTCAGGCTGTCCTGGATAGAAAAGAAAACACTCAGCATGAGGACTTTGCTCCATGTTTCACCTCTTCACAAAAAAAAAAAAAAAAACAGAAAGCTTTGGCTCTAAAATATTTGTTCTCTTTGTCTTTAATGGGAAAAAAAAGATCTGCCCAACTTTAAAATATTTAATGCCAAAAAAGAAACTACYAGATAAACATCCCTAAAGATAACAGGCCAGCATTTATTCTGCCGCGCTGCAAAGAGGTGCCTTGTAGCCCCTGTGTGAAACAAGACAAGCTGAGCTCTTAGTCCAAGCTTAAGCAGGAAACCATAATATTATGTTTGTCAACCCGAAAGTGTGCTCAGCGGTGTACTAAAAGTTAATGTGCAAAGATGTGCTCCCACTGGAAGCATCAAGAAAAGAGAGCAAGGCTCAGTTTGACACTCTAAGGCACGTCAAGTTCAAATCTGTCTTTTTTTTTTTTGGTTTAAGATAAATTATTCTTCCATCARGTCAACACAGCCAACAACTCAGTTTGGAATATTTGATTTGACATAAGCACAGACGCAGACAAGCAGGTGTTTGTGTACAAATCCCACTTTCATGCTCAAAGATGTTGCTTTAGTCATCTGGCGAGACAAACCCTGTGTTGAGAGGAAAAGCCTCATAGAGAGACAGAGCCACCACCAGTGGGGGCTGGGAGGGGAACAAATATCCTTCCTATAAGTTCCCTAGGACCCTCACTGGCCCCATTGGCCAGGATGCCTTAAATGTGTTAACACTGTTTGTTAGCAAAATATCTCATGAACCACAGGACCACGCTTTAATTAAACACTTGGAAAATAATCACCAGATATTCATCCACAACAGACTGGAGTTAACCTGACAGATGGCTGCCACAGCTTGTCAGCCTTAAAAAGGTCACACCTCAGTCGGTTTTACAGACACTGAGTTAAAATTTGACGTGGTGTTAGCTGAAAGTTATCATTGACACACACTTTGAGTGATAACAGATCTGGTGACATTTATGTTTAAAGTTTAGGCAGACAAGGCAGAAACTGATAACCATTTTTCGTCAAGAAGTCTTATTTTCATTTAAAAATTAGAACTGAATGAAAATCAGTTTCAGTTTGCTGATCAGTAACTGCGCTGTTCTCAGTGAATTACAGTTAAAACCAACAATGTAGGCCTACGTCAAAGGTTATTAAACTCCCTTTATTTTAAGACACTTTAAGCCCCGCCCCCCTCCAGCTTTCAAACCGGAGTGGACCAGTCTGACAGTGGGGGTTAGCATTTTCTGACTTTGAGAAATGTTTTATTTACAATTCAATTAAAAGATGTCAACAACAGAAGACTTCTTCATCCAGCCTCACATGTTGGAGCCAGAATCTGACCCAGAACCAGAGTCTGAACCAGAATCAGAGGAGAATGAAGACCACCTAATTGTAGTTGATAAGTCCAGACCCAGTTTGGCAGCTCTCTTGCAAATAATTTGACATAATTATGAAAAACAGAGGAAACTGAACATGTTGAAAATTTTGAGCCAATCAGAATATGAAGATATCTTTGCTGCTCCAGGAGGGACTAAATTAAACTTTTCCGCCTTCTAGAGACTCCAGGTTCACAACATGTATTAACAACATATATATAACAGCTAAAAAGGGGATTTTGCATGATATGTCCCCTTTAACACAATTGCAGTCTTTTTCTATATTAAAGGGGCAACATCATGTAAAATAAACTTTTTTGAGTTTTATATCATGTTATAATGTTATACTCTCATAAAAAACATACCCAAAGCCTTGCTCTGACTCATTCATGCATGTTTGAGAAATCCTGCAGCGTTTTTAGGAAGCCATGCTGAGGAGCAAAACGACAGGTGGGGACCAGAAGACGTGTCTTTAAGCCGAACTTCCTCATGGCAGAGTGCACCCCCTCCCCCCTCCCCACACACCCTGCCCATGACTCTAGCAGGCTCTTGGGTGAAAGTGAAACCTAACTGGTTGCCTGGCCATGCTGGGGTGGGTCCGGGGGGCTTGGGACTCTGGGGGCGTGCAGCCCCTGGGCTGTGGCTCTGGTGGGGTGGGGAGGCTTGGGCTCTGGCGGGCGGGTTGCCGGGCCCTGGGCTTGGCGGTTTACCTGGAGGGAGAGGTATTTGGGCTGCTTTTCCTGGGTGGGTTTCGGGGAGCAGGAGTGCTTACTTGGGCCAGCAGGGGAGGCTGACTCCCTGTGGGAGCATTTTGCTCCTTCAGTTTATTCTCCCCATCCCTCACCGCACACCTCCATCCTCTTCACTTTCAACTTCCCCCATGTAGGTTTTTTTGGGGGGCACAATTGTGTTATAAGAGCAACAACATTACATTTCTATTTGCCATAACCACCTGGGCCCCAAATTTTATTGTACATCTTAGACATTCACTCATAACATTTTCATGATATTCACATTTAGGAACTTAAGGTGAGCACTCATGGCTATAGGTGGCCGGATGGCACCACTCTTGCCTCCTGTGCCTGTGCCCACCCCCCAAGGTTTGCATACAGACACTTAGGGTTTAGGGTTAGAGTAGTGGTGTAGGGGAAACTGGCACCATGCCGTCCTCTGCCTCTTCTTCTTTCCCTTTTTAATTGCTCCATTGAATAACATGCACCAACAGTACATCTGGGGGTCGGGGTGTGTGTGTCAGGGTCTTTACTCCCATCCCKTTCCCCGACTGCCATTTGGGGAGGGGGTCCTGAAGAAGGGCAGGCCGCCGGGTGTGGTCCTGGGCTGTGGGTGGGCTCAGGGCTTGGACGGTTGCCGGGGGCGGGGCTGGCTCTCCATCCACCCTGGTGCTGCCTGGTCTCCTGAGGTGTGGCTCTTGGTTCCTGTGGGCGGCCCCCTGGATAGGGTGACTGCCGGGTTCCGGGAGGTGATCGGCTGGGGGGGTGCACTTGGCCGTTGGCGGTGTGGTGTGGTGGTCATGGGCGTGGCTACTCTGCGGTGGGGCGCTGGCCGGGCGTCCTGGTGCGGCCCGGGCCGGGCCTTAGCTATCTGCTCCTCCCCACCTCAGAATGATTGGGTCTACCTCCTGGGTTCAGGTGTGTGCTGCCTCTGATAGTGGGTGGGTGCATGTCCTGGACCTGGTGGGTATGGAGTGTGTATCGGGGGTATGAGTGGAATGTGGTGTCCTTGTATGTCTTTGATTGAGTGGGGGTGAGGATGAGGGTGGGATGGTGCAATTGTGTATGTGTATGTTTGGGTATTTGTCAGGCTGGGGTCTGGGCTGCCCCTCCTGCTGGTTTATCTGGGGGCCCGCTGCTACTCGGCCCCTCTGTGGGGTGTGCGGCTGGTCGCCGGCATGCTGGGGGTTCCCGGGGTCTGGGGCTGGGCGCTGGGGTGTGTGTGTTCACCTGGCCTGGTGACTGCCTTCTGGGGCTCGGGTCTCTGGCTCAGTCGGGCTTTGGCCTGGGGGTGGGGAGGTGAGCCCTGGGAGCCCAGACCTCTGTGCCCTTTCCTGGATCTGCTCTGGTATGGCGGGTGCCGGTGGGGCCCATGAGTTTGTCGCTGCTGGCCCCGGGGGCTGTGCGTGTGGTCGCTGGGGAGACTCTCCCAGTTCTCCCCTATGGTCTGATCTGGGGGGTGAGTGGGCAGATCTTCCCGTGCAGCTGCCCCTTGGGGCTCTGCGCTCGGGATCCCTCTCTGGCCCTTGGGCTCTGGTCTTCCCTATGTCTGCCTCGTGTCTTGGGGGTTGGGTCTTCGGTCCTCCACAGTCACTATTAAATATTCCATTGGAGAAATCTTGTATATACACRCATGTTCACAACTGCTCACAAACAGGTGCTCTGATCTGGGGCTTTCTGACTGGTCACTGAGTGT